CAGTCTACGCATCGGACTTCCAGCTCCTGCAGGCTGACATCCACTGGAACGAGGCCGCCCTCATTGCCAAGTTTTACGGTGGCTTGAACGACGACGTCAAGGATATGCTCGCCATCCGGGGCGAGCTGCCCGACACTTTGTCCGAGCTCATCGAGGTCGCCACCCGACTCGATGCCCGCATTCACCAGCGTCGAATGGAAGCCTCCAACACCGTTCGTTACAGGACCACTTCCAGCGTTGTCCGCCCACCGAGCCGAAGCCTTCCCTCCCGCGCCCAGAGAGACTCAGCCAGTCGACGCCCCTGTTCCCACGGACCGCGAAGCTGAACGCCGCCTCCGCCGTACCAACAATCTCTGTCTTTACTGCGGTGACAGTGGCCACTACATCAAGTCCTGCCCCAACCGCAAGCCCTTCAACAACCAGGGAAACGACTCGCGCCAGGGCCTCTAAGGGCCACTGCCCTGGCGCACACCAATGACAACAATAAACTCGTTTTTAAGGAATCATCCTCAATGTTCCCAAAGGCCCCTATTCCCGTTCCTGTTCCCATGAAGCACACTGCTACCGCAGCAGCTTCCACGACCACCCCAAATTTGCGCTCTCAACTTCCTCCAGTCCGCCCGCCTCTCAGTCGACTCCCCTCGTCTCCCATCTCCCGTCTACCAACTCCCACCGAGGACTCGCCTGGTCGACCGCCGCTCCCCCCTGCCACGCCCCGGCCATCCGGACCAAGCACGCACCCGGCCCTGGGCGGCAGCGTGGGAAACGCCAACAAGGGTGACGCGTGCCTGTCCCCAACGGACGACCAGCACGACGGACCGTGGGAAAGCACGCGTCCTCACCACAAGCCCGTCCCCTGGCCCACCACCAAGCACACCAATCAGTCTCCCATCAAGCCCGACCCCAATCTTGCCTCCCCCCAGTCTGCCGAGTCCTCCACTCTCCCCGCCGACCAGCACGCACCTCCCCCAATCCCAAGGATAGCTGACGCCTCCTTGGGGACCTGCCCGCATGCCATCTCGGCCGCCGCATCTGGCACCCCCAACACCAGCCTGTTCCTTGTTTCAGCCTCTCTCGCCCACGAGGACCTTCTCGTGCCCACGGTGGCCATGGTCGATAGTGGCAGCACGACTTGCTTCGTCGATCCCACGTTCGCCCACGATGTCAATCTGCCGCTTCGCCCCAAGGCTGCGCCAATGTCGGCGGTGGCCATCGACGGAAGCATGCTCCCCTCAATCACGGAGGAGACAGCACCAATCGCTGTGCACGTGGGAGACAGTGCCGAGTCTCTCGTGTTCGACGTAATGCGTTGCCCGCATGCCCCCGTCGTCCTCGGCCTCCCGTGGCTCCGTAAGGCCAACCCAGGATTCGACTGGGTTTCTGGGACAATTCAATTCCCGATGAGCCAAGTCGTCGCTGCGTCGTCTGGCGCACCTGTTGAGCCCAACCAACTTCCTGAGAAGTACTCGGAGTTCGCCGATGTCTTTTCGAAGCGCGAAGCGGACCGTTTCCCGGAGCACCGCCCCTACGATTGCCCAATTGACCTCGTCCCAGGTGAAGTACCGCCCTTTGGGCCTATATACAGCCTGTCCGGTGACGAATCCAATGCCCTACGGGAATACTTGGACGAGAACCTCGCGAAGGGGTTCATCCGTCCGTCCAAGTCTCCCGCGGCATCGCCAATCCTCTTTGTGAAGAAAAAGGATGGGACCCTCCGCTTGTGTGTCGACTATCGAAGCCTCAACAAGATTACGGTCCGAAACCGCTACCCGCTTCCCCTCATCCCGACACTACTCGAACGGCTCAGTGGGGCAAAGGTGTTTACCAAGATCGACCTGCGCGGAGCGTACAACCTCGTACGCATCCGCCAGGGAGATGAATGGAAAACAGCCTTTCGTACTCCATTCGGGCTGTTCGAGTACCTCGTGATGCCATTCGGACTCACGAACGCCCCCGCGGTGTTCCAACACTTCCTGAACGATGTGTTCAGACATATTGTCGGATCACGGGATCAAGAGGAAGTGCCAGATCGCGGGATCAAGAGGAAGTCAAAAGAAGAAGATAGAGAAGGGTTTTATTGATCTTAGCGAGGCTATGATATAGAGTCAAGTGTGTCTGGGGTCGAAGGTGATGACCAGAAACATGAGCGGGCGAAGGCGGGCTATTTATCTGTCTGGCGGTCCCGGAGGCGAAGCCTGCCGCAGCGGGGGCGAAGCAGCGGAGGCGGCGGGACAGCAGCCAGGCAGCAGCGGCTAACCGGAGAAACATGTGAAAGTCTGACAAATGCTCGGTGGCTGACAAATGCGGGTGACACGGCGTCTGACTAATGCATGGTCGATGACAAATGCAGGGAACACAGAGCGGCGTGTGCAACATGAGAGCAAGGAAAAAGGAAAGGCGTCGCAGGACAAAGGAAAAAGAAAGTGTGCAACGCAAACAGTGACTCAAGTGCGACGGTGCAGCCAAGCGGGCGGAGGGATCTGTGACAAACTCCCAGGATGAGCATGAAGAACACGTCAAGGAAGTCCTGCTGCGTCTGCGAACCCATGGCCTGTCCGCGAAGCCTGAGAAGTGCATGTTCGACCAACAAGAGGTCGAGTTCCTGGGATTCGTGGTCACCACCGGCCATGTGAAGTTGGACCCGTCGAAGGTCAAGGCCGTTGTCGAGTGGAACCCCCCGCACACTGTCAAAGGTGTACAGCGCTTCCTGGGCTTTGCCAACTTCTACCGTCAATTTATCAAGGACTACTCGTCGCTGGCAATTCCCTTGAACGCGCTCACGGGGAAGGACGTGCCGTTCAGCTGGACCCCTCAAGCACAAGCCGCGTTTGACAAGCTCAAGAGTCGATTCACCTCCGCCCCTGTCCTCGCACATCCCCGCCTGGATGCGCCGTTCGTCGTGGAAACGGACGCATCCGACTATGCCATCGGAGCGGTCCTCTCGCAGCCTGACGACAGTGGTATGCTACATCCAGTGGCATTCCACTCTCGGAAGCTGCAACAAGCAGAGAGCCGCTACGATGTGCACGACAAGGAGTTACTGGCGATCGTGGACGCTCTCAAGCGCTGGAGGCACTTCCTCATTGGGTCACCGTACAAGATCACAGTGTTCTCGGACCACCGCAACCTCCAGTATTTCATGGAGTCACGTGCCCTCAACGGGCGATAGGCCCGCTGGTCGATGTTCCTCTCGGACTTTGACTTTGTGGTCTCCTATCGGCCGGGTAAGACACATGCCAAGGCAGACGCACTGTCTCGCCGTGCCGAGCACGGATTTGAGGAGGGAGGGGGTCATGCACGGATCGAAGCTCCCCTCCTGCGACCTGAGCAGATCCTCGCAGCCATGACGCGTCGCGACAACTCCGACACGAACCGCGACAACTCCGACAACCCCGACAACTCCGACAAGCACCGCGATGACTCCGACGCAAACCCAGACGACATCGTGGAACCAACAACCACCGTGCCGGACCGCCCCATCCCCGCCAATACCGGCACCACGCCCAAGGCAACGGTCACCAACAATGGGGAACAGCTCCGCCTGCTCCAGGAGTACCACGACAACCCCCTGGCCGGCCACTTTGGAATCAACAAGACGTTCAAGCTACTCTCCCGCGATTTCACCTGGCCAGGTATGAGGCAGATGGTCGCCGACTATGTTCGGTCGTGCGACACCTGCGCTCGAGCCAAGACCCCACGACATGCTCCAAGTGGTCTGCTGATGCCCCTCCCGATCCCGGAACGACCGTGGGGGTCCATCTCCATGGACTTTGTGACGGACCTCCCACAGGTCCAAGGATTCGACTCGATTCTGGTGGTTGTGTGCCGTCTGACAAAGATGGCACACTTCATCGCGTGTGCCAAGACGATCACCGCCCAGCACACAGCCACGTTGGTGCTCCGCGAGGTTGTGCGATTGCACGGGTTGCCCGACTCAGTTGTATCTGATCGCGGCCCCCAGTTTGCCTCTCGTTTCTGGGACAGGTTCCTCGAACTGCTCGGAACAACAACCAACCTCTCGTCTGGGTTCCACCCCCAGTCTAACGGTCAAACGGAGCGTGTGAACCAAGTCCTTGAACAATACCTCCGATGCTACACCTCCTACCGACAAGACAATTGGGTGGACCTCCTTCCACTGGCCGAGTTTGCATACAACAACGCAGCTCACGAGTCGACCGGGGTCGCACCATTCTACGCTAACTACGGTCTTCATCCTAGATTTTCTGTGCACCAGCCTGTCGGGTCAATCAATCCGGCTGCCGAGTCACACGCCATGCTCATTGGCGATATCAGGGAGTACTTGACTGCGAACCTCCGCGACTCCCAGGAGCGTTACAAGTACTACGCGGACCTGCGGCGAGCGGAGGCACCCGAGTACTCCCCGGGTGACCAAGTCTGGTTGCGCCGCCTCAACATCAAGACCACTCGCCCCTCTGACAAGTTGGACTACAAGCGCATTGGTCCGTACAAGATCAAGAGGAAGATCAACGACGTTGCCTACGAATTGGAGCTTCCACCACGTTTCCGGATTCATCCGGTATTTCATGTGTCACTGCTAGACCCCCACGTGACCCCACTCATCCCCAATCGTATCATCCCACCCCCACCACCAGTTGAAGTCGAGGGCAATATCGAGTATGAGGTCGAAGAAATATTGGACTCGAAGAAACAAGGTCGTGGGATGCTTTACTTGGTATCCTGGAAAGGATACCCAATGTCGGAATCCACCTGGGAATCGCCCGCAAATGTGAAGAACGCTCCGGAACTGGTGGAGGAGTTCCACCAGCGATACCCGGACAAGCCAAAGCCGGTATCCAGGTCTCGCAGTCGGTGAAGGGGGGAGTGATGTGACGACTCGGTCCAGTCGCCACATGTCGAGAGGGCTGGGTCGTGCACGCGAGCGAGGAGGCTCCCCACCACTACCCCCACTGCGGTTTGCTGGGTTCTCACGATATATAAAGGGTGAAGCCCCAGCACTGGAAGGACCCAGCAAGACGAGTCTTCTGTTCATCTCGCCTTCCTGGCTACTCCGCTGACCCGCTTCCCTGAATACACCTCCGTTCCCACGCTGCCTTGCCCGCTCCGCTCGCCCGTGCCCCGATAGTCCCATGTCCCGTCCCCGGTCCGTCCCTCGTTCATTACAGTTCGGTGTTGTATTCCATATCAAGAGAGATGTTTCCAATGATCCGAAAACTCTCAATGACGCACTGTTGCCTCTGCCCATTATCCAACACATAACACAGTATATCCGTGCAGAGTCTCATTCTCCTCAACTGTGTTTCCTCGATGCCTTCCTTGGGCGCTGTGAGCTTGCCGGTGGGTTGGCACGTCGATTCGGTAGCGAGAGGTGATATCTAGACCAGATATTTATCAGCTCGTTGGCTTCCGTTGCTGTGTCTCCCATCCAGATAATGACTTCCAGATTCTTACCTTTCCTTCTCCACTCTCTGCCGCAAAATTCCAGTCATCACAAACTCGTTGGTGTGGATCGTCCATCCCTTCTGAGCAAGTGCTTGACACTCCTCCTCGTCTTCATGGCAGCCCAAGACGATGGTATTTTCGTCTGGGGATTCATCGACTCGCTGTATCATCTGAGACACGATGTACGGATTTAGTGGGCCATCACTATGTTGATCGTTGCGGTCGCCATTACTTCCACCTTACCGTGCCGCCCGATGCGCTAACAATCTCCCTCAGCTCGTCTTCCGCAGGTTTAATATTTTTTGTTGCATAGAACTGCAGCCCCTTCATCAGCGAACTTGGATGCATCTGAGTCTGTGCAAGGGAAGACCTCAGCGAGAAACTATGGGCCTTCTCGCCTTCCTTATCTTGTAAAATGAACTTCTTTTCGTCTGCCAGTTGAGCGTCGTAGTCGTCACTATGGCTGTCTCCAAGTCATCATACTCATCGCTCAAGATGGAGCATCATTTATCTTCCAGCAATCGCCGAACTCTTACCCACAAAGTAGCCCTTTGATTTTGAATCGTCGAGCCACCGGATACTGACAATGTTCCGACCAGCGGAAAGCGCACATAAAAACTTCACTGTGCGTCGTATTTTGTCTGTGACCAGGTGTGTGCAGTCTTCCCATGAATCTGCGACTCGTCCACCAAGATCCTCTACGATCTAAATTAAGCCCAGCCAAGTCGATCGCTTCAGGTTCAGAATATACCACCACGTTTCCCCCCCCCCAACACACATGCATCCGGAGTATTTTCGCCACTCACCGCCCGACGTGACTCATCATCGATTCCAGTAAACATGACACTTGGAGCTATATCTGTGTGAATCGCCTTTGCATCATCCGTGCCGTATGTCCACGATCGCTGCGCTCGAACCGAGCTCGTCCAGCTGTAATTTTGAGTTGACCACATTCTCGTTAATCAACTATGGCTTACCCCATTCTTCATCCCGCCTGCGACATGCATTCGTTACAGGCTCTGACACTGTCGTCAAAAATATGTTCTAGATCATCCAGGACTAATGGATAGGAAGGCTACACACCTATCTTGCGACTGCTGTACCGACTGGCTGCTCAAGGGGTTCATAATGGCTTGCTGATTCTGCTCCTCGTCCGTTAACAGACCCGAGTTTCCACGGGGCAGTGTTCTCTGAGAGGCACTTTCTTGGTTGCTGCGGTCCCTTATTCGCTTTGACTGTCGAGCTGCTGTTGAGATGTCTCGAGCCTTGCGTTTCCGAGTTTTGCCCAGAGTCAGAGTGGCATTTGCATCACCCTCGCTTTGAGCAGTGGACACTGATCTCAGTGTCGAGGACACTGTCAGGGCAGGGGTATATTGCGACAAAGTCTCGTGCTGTGGGCCTTCCGAGCTGTCGCTGGCGCCATTTCGTGTGATATGAACTGAGGCCTGCTCCTCTTCAGTCACATTCTCGATGTTCTCGGCTGCCTCCTTCGCTTCCGAATATGAACCCATCTCGGCAATGTCGTCTATTTTCAGTGTAGCTGTGTCTGGGGCCTGGCTGATCGAGTGTGAGGCCCAGAGCTCTGATACCCGTTGCTCCTCGTCTTCGACAGCGGTTGATTTGCCAAAAACTTCGGATGTCTTGCTGTTACTTCGACTACTTCGACTACTTCGGGTGCTGGTTGTTGTTGATGAACTTGTCCGCCAAGAGACAGCCCTTGCTGCTGCTCGATGTTCGAGGACCACCGAGGGCTCGGAAAGAATTACCGAATCGGAAATCTCATCCCACCTACCAGGCACCTTTCGACGACCTGAGATTGCAGATTTTGCCAAACGCTTCTTTGCTTGGCCCCTCTGTGAATTTCCGCGGAATGATTCGGCTTCTGCGTTCACTGGAGGCACTGAATACTGAAAGCTGGACTGAGAAACACGATGCACCTCATTGTCCGTCTTGTCATCCGAAATTTTTGACTCGTTGATAACATCGGGTGTGCTTGACTGATGAGCCGATAGTGTCGCACCATCACTCGTGCTGGAATTCTGCCGCTCGGACACTGACGAATGGTTTGGGTTTGGGCTGGATGAAGGGCTGTTTCGTTGAACGCTCTTGTTTCTCGATTTGGCAGCAGAGTCTTGACCGTCACCAGTATCGTGAATATCAGCAAATGATGCCAAGGCATCTTGTGCATGGTGACAGTTTGATTGGGCGGCGACGCACGAATCAGCGACCTGATTGGTGATCCGGTTAGTTGATGTCCTCTCCGCGGCCAGATGGAGGGCCATGTTCATGGGAACGGTCGTACTTTCCGTTTCCGAGCCCATCCACACCCCGCCAGGTGTGTCAGACAGAGCATGTGGATCAACTTGGCCTGGAATCTCTTCTGCCCGGTGTGCAATCGAGTCAATGCCATCGTCAGCTTGGACTGGGGCATTGTTCTTCTGGACACGATCGACACCGATATCAGCATCCGGCTGGGCTTCTTCGTTTGGATTTGGCCCATTCGTTCTGCCATCGCCAGGATCGCCATGTAGCAGAGCCCCTCGTTCGTTTGCTATCGCAGGGTCTGGCGTGGCATGGACGCTCCGCCCGCTCTTGGCGGATCTGGACGACAGGAATCCGTCCAAGTCCGCCTCGATCAAGAGAGTTGGCTCCAGATCCAATCCGGTTTCGGTCAAGTTGTTCTGGACAAAACCCTCGTCTGGCCAGCTTCCAATGTCATGTTGGGGCTGCAGAGGCTGGGTTTGAGGCTCGCTGCTGTGAAGACTTGTCGCTCGGTTGGCTCCTGAGCCGCGATCGTCCAGCAGATCAGGCGATGGAAGTATCAGCTTTGACGAACCCTGCTCGCTCTTCGTTTGTGTCGATTCATATTCATCAAATACATCGGCGCCTTCCCCTAGGAGGTCGGCCGGGCTAGCCTTCTTTATCTTGGAGCGGCTGCCGCCGGGAATATGAAACGCGGGGCTTCGAATCGGCGAAAGCATCGACTGATGGGTCCGCGAGATGTTTTCATGGATGAGAGGGACAGAGCTCGAAGCTTCATCAGCCGGGATAACTGGTTGAGTTGAAACAACGTGCTCGATATTCGACGAGCCTGTACCCTCGACGATCTGCGTTGTTGACACCATGCCGCTCTGGACGAGTTGGGTGGACGGTCCATCGAACGGCGGAGACGCAAATGGGGCCGGCATGGTTGGCTCTACACTTCCAGAGTCAGTCTGGCCGAGCGGTGCTCCGTCGTCTAGAGTATTCAACAAAGTCAGCCAAGCAGACCACTTCATAACCGCTATGTTCGCCGATATCCTGCCTCACACTTGCCTGTTTGTGTCTCCTACACCGTTAACCAAAGAACCGGATATGGAAGGGGTCAAAAGCTGGGCGAGGCCGATTCAAGAGCTGGCAACATGGGTCAGCGGCTTGGTCTGGCAGTGCGAGACATCAAGCCTGCTGGCGCCAGATCCGCTCATGGAGCCAGACCATCCATGGACCCTGGACAGCTGGGCTCCCTTAACCGCCGCCTCGCCCCCCCCCCCTCGCTTCATTCTCTGCCTCGTCATGCCTCTGATGTTCTCGGCATACCACCGCCCAGAAGCCCGCATGCTGGATAATGACTACCTTGTCTTCGCGAAGTGGATCAACGATTTCATAACGGCATACGGCCGGCCCGAATTGAACTGCTTGGTTGTTCAATAGCTGGTACGCCCTTGCAGGATACAGTCTAACGGAATCGTCACCTTGGCCAATAGAGGTAAAGTTTGTGGATTCGAGGTCCTGGATAAAATGGATCGATCCTTGCGAGGATATCTCTACCGAGGATGAAGAGCATGTGTCAAGGCAGTAATCAAGCACCCAGCAGTGTTCGTCAGAATTGTCGGCTGGAGCTGTTGAGAGGAGTGAGCAGTGTGATGGATGCTGGTCCCATCTGATTCTGTCCAGCTCTCCCAGGCGAGAGTCCCTACAGACTGGTCTCTGACGGAACTGTTACCAACCGAAAATCGCATGGAGTCCGCTGACACCAGGCACGGGCAATACGACATCAGCTTCCATGTTGCTTCCAACACAGGTAATTCCTGTGTGGATGGGGTATTTGATCTGGTTGTCTGGATTGGCTTCATCAATGCAATAGAGATAGGCAGCCTAGTCGCAGAAGCGCACGATCGGTCGGGATCGACCGCTGTTGTCAGTTTCCATGGGAAGTTGGGGGGGGGTAAAGATACCCCATGTGCGCAAGCGAGGGGCAGAGTCTTTCGAGACTCGATGGATACCCTGCCGACTTGGCGGCTCCGCATCTTCCGCTCGCGGTTGCAGCTTTGATCGCCGGGCAAACCACATTATCTTCTGGACGAGAATCGGTTCGGAATATGCGATGGCACAGCGCCTCAGTGCGGCGGAGCACCGAGGCCATAAAAACCCAAGACAAAATAGATGAAGACTTGTTTACCAGCTTCCGCTCACTGGGTGAAAGGCCCAGCTTGTCCTTGACTTCGTTGACAAAGGCCAGTTTGGACAAGAGAGCCTGGTCGTAGGACGACGAGTCGCTGGGGTCGCTGACGGCTTGGGTGGGCTCGACGGAGGCCGGATAGGTGTTCGCAAAGGTGCCGAGGAGGGGGCTCTGCGATCGCGGCAGCGATTCACGCATCGCTTTGGCCGGCCTGGTTGGATCGGGTTGGATCTGGGAGAATTGAGGGGGCGATCTGGGAGGACGTTCGCTCCAAGATGATCAAGGCCATGACGACCCAATCCCCAAGCAGGCCGCCCGACATCGCACCAGGCGCCGCGCTGCGCATCGTTCGCGCCTCGCCCTTCGCTTGCTGCCGCTGCTTGCGTGTCATCTCATCGGACAGATCGCTCGGGGCCGAGATACGGACACTTCCCAGCAGCCCAGTCGGCCTCAGATCTCCAGAGTCCACAATGCTTCCCTCGGGCCCCTCAGGTAGCGGCAATCTGCCGGTCGGCGCTGTAGGCGACGGACAAGCCCTGCGTTGATGGCCCCATTGCTGCCGATCGCTGTCGATCGCTGTCGATCCTGGTCGGTTGCTGTCGATCCTGGTCGGTTGCTGCACCTCCCGCTGATTCACATTCTCCCCACCGTGTTTATCCCGCCGGACGCAATGGTATCCAACCATAGGCTTCTGTAAGTCGGCTGTTGTGCGTGTTTAGCGATGGGCCTGTGGATCTCTGGCAATGCAGCCCAGGACACAATCTCATGGCGAATCCTCATCGTGCAGACAATGCACCCGTGTCCAAGGGGGTGTTTCTGTTCGTCGGAATCAACAGCCTACTCTCGGCCGTTTTCAAGTTCAAGCACAGCTTTCATCTGCAGCTTTTCCCCCACATTGTGCGCGACCACCAAGTACGTTTGCTCCGGCCGTGGATACCATTGGAGGTGCCAGCACTTGCCCAAGCCCATACGGACAGAGCCCGGGACTAATCTTTTGATTGCATTCGAACTCGTGGTGGCGAATGCGGATGACCGGAGCAGTTCTGGAGACTGATCTCAACTCATTGCGGTGAGTTTGCTGGACAGCCATGAGCCTGAGGAATCTCACTACTTGCATCGGCGCCTTGGTCCTGCCTCTGTTATGATTTTAATCGCCACCCCTCTCGCCGCTGTCTCGTTCAAACTCCTCAACTATCAAACTTTCAAATCGTCGCGCTGAACTACTTCCGACGAACAACCAGCTTTCCGCAGCAGTGCAGAGATCCTGTTCGGCAGCCTGTTGATCTACCACATGCGCTTAATTGAGCGACAATGGGGAACCTCCAAGTTCGCTTCCTTTGTGACAATCACTTCGACCCTGTCAACCATATTCTACGTGGCCGTCCTCGCCTCGGGCCATTACTTTGGCCTGAAATATGTGTCGTCGGGACCATATGCCATTATCGTACGTTCCAACCTACGCAACCGCGCCAGTGACCCCGACTAGAGTCCACTGCCGATTCGTCTGCGAGGCCGCTCGATGGACTGAGACTCGCCGGCTCCGATTACTCACTCTCCGACTCCCTCGCACCGCCAGTTTGCTGCCCTGTGGCAGTATCATGCAACTGTTCCGGCCACTTGGAAGTCGCAGTTGCTGGGCATGAGCTTCAGCGACAAGTATCTGCCATACATGATGGCTGCCCAGGTAACTTGGTCGCGAGTTGGCAAGTTGTATTTCGATGCAAGTTCGAGTTCTGATATGCGGCATCAAGCTCCACTTGTGCGATTGACCCCTTGCTGTCGCCGTCATGCATGGCCGGCGTCTTGACTTCACGCCTCGAATCTGGATCGCTGTAACCGTCTGGGCATGGTATTGGTCGCATCGGTCTCATCTCGCCGCAATCTGCCTTTTCCTCCCTCATCCTTCCCCATTGGCGACATGGATCGCGATCCAAACGAGGAAGCTCTTGCTGTCGTCGTTCCCAAACTCAGCCGTGGCCGGCGTCTGTGGCCTTGCCGCAGGAATGCTCTATCGACAACCGCTACTTCCCTTCCAAAAGTGGCGCTATCCCCAGGCTGTTCGCAGCTTTTGCAAGGCGTGGATCCTTCCCTTGCTGATGTCCTCCAATGTCCAGCGACCTTCCCTCACCAATGTTCAGGAGCGTACACCTCGACCACCCGCCCCAAGAACCAGTAACCATGATGCCGACACTATTGCCCAAGCTTCGACAGAAAATCCTCCAGAGGAACAGATCTCAGCCCTTGAAAGCATGGGCTTCCAGCGCGAGGACGTCCTCGCCGCGTTGCGCATGAGCGGCAATGATACAAATCGAGCGGCTGCACTCTTGCTTGATGGGCAGGAGGGTCAGAACATGCAGTGAACCTGGGTACACCGATTGACACGCTCTATTTGAGGATTGGGTCTTCGTCATCGAGAGAGCCTTCTTAGCACGATCCCGTTGCTGTGGACGGATTATAGCTACACGAATCTTTGTTTCCGAGCCCTGTGATGTGACAAAGTCTATACTCGAATTCTCAATATTGGCATTGCCGTTCTGGATCGTACTGGGCCTGGTGTGATGCGCCATACGGGGATCTGGATTTGGATCTGGATTTGGATCTGGATCGCCGTCGGCAATGACCACCAGCACAGTCATGGACTCTTCATGGCGCACCATTGCCGTTGCCCATGGCATTGATCTGAGATATACACGGCCATGCCACACACACCAACACCAACCGACAGACACGGCCGTGCGGTGTGCTCAAGAGCTGTCCTTTTCAACACCGTCATGCCCTCGCCGATGCACCGCCGACCGATAGCACACCGAGGTTGCACCGCAAAACAAGTTTCACGACAGAGGACTATTGATAATTGAGAGTGAGGCGATCCCTTCGGATTTCCGACCATTACAGCCTTTGACAACAAGCTGTGCTGCCGCTGCCATGTTAGGCCGTTCGCAAAATCAAATGGATGCCCGAGTCCGATTCGACAGGCCCGCTGAGCTCTCCGACTTGCAGGGCAAACCTAAAAACATGGATACCACCAAGCATCAGAACGTCGAGCGCCCAATCGGCCGTTTCAAGCGCATGCCCTTATCCGTCCGTCAGCTCATTGATCACCCATCGTGCTTGATGGCATGATCCTGCAGGACACCACACTGGCTTATTCGTCGACCCAGGTCCTCGCACGACGAGCCATCGAGACTCCACTTTGGTCGATACGAACGTGGCGGATTCAAAGGCAGGCTGCATTGCGCCAGGTCCAAAAAACCCAAGATCGCCGTCTTTCTTGCCGAACTGCAGTCGCTTTCAGTTCGGGCCAGCTGTCCGAGCGTTAGTTCGCCGCTGACGATGCGCTCGCGATAGCCTGAAACAAGTGAATGTTGCATTGAGATAATCAGTGGCAGGGGCGAGAAAGCCGCCCGAAGCTGGCAGGATCTGCTTCCTCAGACACTCAGCCACTACCTTGAATGATTGCATAGGCCTCTTCCTTGGTTCGTGTGATGTTTTCCTGATGGCACCCACGGTAAGTTAGCCAGATAGACGGGGGCACAATCATGGACCATGTCAAAGAACAGCATGCCAAGCACTTGACGATGAGTAGAGGGCTCTCTATGGCCAGCTGGTCTAGAGATGAGAGAATTGGCATCCGCAAGCCAGAGCAGGTCGCTTACTTGTTTCCACGACGACGGACGGCGAGAGTCCCTGTGTTTGACGAGAAGATGCGAGGCACGCACTTCCCCGGCCTTGACGTGGGGCTTGTAAGAGTCATCGGGCTTATCCCACTGACTCTCGCCTGTTTGGCGGTTGAAGTAGTAAGGTCGATCGCGGGATTTTGACCAGCGTTCCTGCGTTGGGCGAAAGACAACCCGACGGCGACGAATGCAGATCCAGAGCGTGATGATGGAAACGAGCACGGGGATGAACAGGGGATGAGAATGGGGATGAGAATGGGGATGAGCAGACTGATCATATTCAGGCGTCCAGAGGTCCGCAGTTTGGTCGTCGTCGTCGCAGGCGGATCGATGCCGTGCAGTTCTCGTCCTGACCTCCCAGGGCGACTCCATTGTGTCGGCGGCTTGTTGCTGGCGATGAGAGGGCAAAGATGCAGAACGGGAACCCAGGGGCCAGAAGCGAGGGTTGGGCACTTGCTCTCGCTCTCGCCTGTTCTCGCCGAGACCTGCAGGGCCAAGACGGCAGCCCAACCCGGCTGAGCGAACGCTCCTCCCGCCCTCTGCATCAACATCCGGCCGATATGGACAAGACGCTGACATATCTTTTGAGCTCAGCAGCCGAGTTTCTGTCTCCGGCAGCGCAGAAACAGCATATCCGTGATGTCTTTGTGCGGTGCTGGACCAAGATCCGCCAGGCGTTCATGAGTTCGGGTGAGTTTCGCCTTTTGGCCAACGGCTTACTCCCCTGGGGACGTGTCTGTGGAGTGCGCATGCGATCATGTCGGCTGTGCTGGAACTGACGACCGAGTGTGCGCCTCCCGTTGCACTGGCTGGGTTCCCAGAGGTCCGCTGCCAAGCGATCGAGGAGATCGCAATCAAGGAGCAGCTCGAGACAATGCTTGAGTGTCTCAGGAGAGAAGAGGCGCTCGAGCGACATCACAGCGAGGACGACGCCACGATGGGGCCTTGTCTCGAATTCATGCTGCAGACGCGGCTGATCGAGACACTGGTCGACTTTGGAGAAACAAACGTACGACGGATAGGCATCCCATGAAAGTCACATTCTTGCCCGGCGCAGCAGAGTGCATGCAACATGGTTCTTACCACACTGTCTGCTGCGCTGCGAATGACTGCAGCTTCCCGAGGGCCTGCTGAATGAGGTCCTCGGCTTTCTCTGCCAGCTCCTCTCGACGCCGTTCTATGCCACCAAGCTCCTGCCTCAAGAGTCAGTTCGTTTGCCCCTCCAGCGGATTGTCCTGGCTGCTCACAATACGCCTTATTGCTTTGAACCCGCAAATCGTGAGCCTCAGGTCGGGGTGCCTGCTGCAGACAAGGGCCATCTGCCGTCGCTCTTCCCACATTCCCATACTGAATCCCGGAGCTCGCTGGCGACCAACACAAGGCAGCTCCCGAGCGATGCTGGTGCTCCAGACACAGCACAGCTCGGCAATCCGCTGCCAACATCTGGTCAAAGCCCCAGTCCACCGGCGTCATCAGACGAGTCGGAATCCACCATAACGCTCATGCTAATGCTGATCGTCCTCGTACTTGAGCATATACAAAAAGTCCCTATATTTATGGAACTATTCTTTGGACTGCTCAAAATTTGCGATGAGCCTCAGGACCAGCTCGAAGCAGAACGCACCATTCGCGAGCACTTTCTTGTTGGCGTGCCCCTCGGCTACATATCGCGATCCGACGACATCGGTCGACTCGCCCGGGATGCCTTGAAGCTTCTCAACTCGATCTTGATTGAGGCAGGGGCAACCCGCATCAGCATGGCTCAGTACATTCACTTGCCTTCACTGTGCAAGATACTGGTCTGTATACTGAGTCCAGTCTGTTGTCGTACTTGCTTCCATATCTGCCTTGTTCTCGGGATGGCCCGGTTTCATACTCAAAATCCGGTGGCAGGGATGCCCGAGGCGAAGTCGGCGACCGATAAAGACAATCATGTGGTCATCTGTCGGTATCTCTGACGCGCACTCAAGCATGCTCCTTATTGCTGGTTGACATTTCTCTCAGATGAATGACATTTCCGAGCAGTACCTGCAGCAAATCAAATCCAGTAGCTTGCCACCAGCCGATAGCGCGATCGCGGCGGATTCAGCAACGTCGAGCCCCATGTTCGACATGCTCCATATCCCGGTGTGGAATATTATCAACGAAATAATGAACGAAAACCACTCTGTAAGTACCCGGCTAGAGCGAGATTGCTTGAGCCAGGTTGAGATTACTTCGGCGTGATAACATGTACATAACATTACAAAGCAATTCAAGGAAGTCATTCGCGAGAACCTCGTGTCTTTTTGGGACCACAAACTTGGCGTTGGAATATGCAGCAAGTATGTGGACAGTCAGCGCATCAGAGAGGGGCCGCAGAGCTAGCATCCGCAGCTGCCGCCTCTTCTTGCTCAAAGCGAGACGCCAGATTAATGCAGTTCAAACTTCCACAGCGACCTCACCACAGCCAAGATAGCAATGCTCTTCATGAGGGACATGTTGAAATATACGTGGTCCAAAGATCTGCAGTCGCTCCTTGTGGGCTGCTTGACTGACGCAAACGAAGCCGCCGGAGTCTCCGCTCTTTCTGGGCACATCGGCCGCGGCTCGTCCGAGGTTTGTGTTATGCCAACCCAAGCTGAACCTTGCACTGAGGGGTACAGCCATAGCGACAGAGCTGATGTGATGATGGATTGACTGTGATTACAAACTGCTCCCGGTTGCCCTATCGATGCACGACCATATGCCGATTCCAGAATGTTGACTCTGCAATGCTACCTTCGTCGTGCCCCAGTTGATGGAGGCAGCACTATCGCTTCTTTACTACCTACTATCAACAGATCACGGCGCTGTCACCACCATGCTGGCGACGCCGGAGAGGTCACTGCAGTGGGACTTGGAAGCATCCGACTCTGTTTCGCCGTCAATGACGCTTGAGAGCGCACTCTACCAGTAAGAGTCCCGTTTTTGTTTTGTTATCTTGAGCCCAGTAGTCGCCTCGATGCGTCTCCGAAGCCAAACCAGCTGCATATTCGATGCTCAAATGCGGCCGGCCTGGAATGATACTCTACTGTTTCCTTTGCATCGACGGTTGTATGGCCGACAAATCCCACGGTTAATTAAACTGACGGATACGCTCTCTATGCAGTCTCTTCCAAGTCGCGCACATTGTCAACCGCAAAGAGCATGTCGAAGCGATGCAAGCCCCCGACATCATACCTCTCACCCGCATTTTTGAGCAATGTTTTTCCAGAGACACAAGCTCGGCCACGATATTTGCGCCAGTCTCACGCCAGTGCATGCTTCCGAAGCATCTTTCTGGCTGGCAGCTTCGCTCTGTCGGAAACGAGCTCCTTTCAAATGTGCTACTTACATTGCATCAGTTTCCGACGCTTTCGTACAACAGCCAAGTGCTGCTGACAAGCTCTATTCTCGTGATTGCTCGGTCGGCTGGGTCGAGAACGCTCAAGGACATCGAGTCAGACATCGCTTTGCCAGAAGCAGAGCCGCGAAGCCAAGACACCATTGATAGACCCATATATTTGCAACCTGATATGTACCTTGGAGATGGTGCGTTCGACGGCAGTCGATCACGATATGTCAGCCCGGACTCGGCCTTGCTCTTGAATCGGAAGAGTTCCGCAGCATTTCCATGTATCTAACGGTTTATCATCGGCCAACGACTCGCCTTTAGATTCATGAAAAGTTCACCGTCTACATCATCGAAGACAACATATTGGATGTTCAAGCCAAGATGGAGAGAATCAAGAGCGATATCGGCTCTGGGCCCATCAACAGCCGCCAACCGACCGAGAGACAGCATAGTCGGAAAGGAGATGCGCCGCATTTGTCGGCCCTGCCCACCGTTCGACCGTCGGACCTGCAGAGTTCCGAGACGAGACAGCCACCTCGACCGGTGGTGCCGACACCTTCGGGCCGTGGCCGGCGCTCCTCGTTCTTTGTCCGTCGCCCGCCTCGTACCCACGAAAACGAAACCAAGGTCCTGCGCTCATGTTTGGTCCTCCGTGAGTTTGCCGTTGAGCTTTCGGAAGTTCTGTTCATCAATCAGCGAGCCAGCAACTTCATGCCGGAGGACGATTCGGTTGATTGGTAGGCTGTGACTGTAGTATCGAAAGTTGGTTGGTCCAGCCCGAAGCGCCCGTGCTCGACTCTTCCGGGCAAAGCGAGGTGCGAAGGAGCGTCTGGCCCATCACCCTGATTACTCCACGACGTCACCAATGAGAAATTAAGACAGGTGGTATTCGCTCTTATGAAAATAGAACTCGTGTTATTCGACTGGAAGAGTTATATATGACTGGAGCTTATTCGTCGAGTGAGCCCGATACCCTTCGTTTGTGGCTGCTGCCAGTGCCAGGCGGGCCCCGGGAGCGCGGATACGCCTCCGAGGAGCCAGGTCGCTCATATTTGCGTCGAGAAAATAGGGGCTTGACCCACTGGTCATCAAAATTTATGAACCAATGCGGTGCCGAGCGCTCGGTCGCGATAGGGGGCCCATCCGACAGGGGCTGGGAGGACGCGTAGCTTGAGACCGACGAACGTGGAGCAAACGATGCCAGCGGGTGCTCGTCCTCATATTCGTATCGATAGCCAGAGTCGTCATCGTCATCTTCAAAACCGTCGACGCTTGAGTCTGTAGCATCGTCTATGTCGTCAGCGAGGGCATGATTTCTCTTGGGGCCGACATCTGTTTCGATTTTCAGTCGTTCGAGGGCATAGTTTGTGGTACCGCCAAGAATCAACACGCTAATGACACATACGACCAGAGTCGTTGAGCGAATGATGTCTCCGGCTTTACCGGTGACTTCAAAGGCAAGGGCAAAGGCGATGGCACCACGGAGACCGGCCCACCACATCATCCATTGGTGGTTCTTTGGAAGGTGGTTCACTTTCCCGTAGAGTCGATATGTGACCGAGTTGACCAGCCAGGCTAGAGGCACCGTTGAGATGTAGCGAGCCACCAGCAATATGATCTAGTGGTTTACGATTTGCGACGAGCGCGGCGAGTCATCGTTCCTGTCAACATCGGTGGCAACCCCGCTGCCCTATTTGATTGGTGCCCACAGGGCCGACATCCAATTACACCAAGCCGATATGCTGTTGCGTTGTCGAATCGAGGCGAGCCTCCAATAGCGTCGGAATTGCCGTGGCACGGGAGCAAGATCTCGGCCAATTCGGAGACGCTTCACTCACCAGGATCAAAACGATCAGGACCGGCAGGAAAATAGAGTCTGATCGGGTAAAGATCGATATTCCCAGGTAGATAAAGACAAAGTTTTCACTCATCTGGGAAAGCACCCGAAACATGTACTTTGTGGTCCGTCTCGAACGCAGGCTGAGATTGTCGTACGCATAGTGCTTGAGAGTGATGCCACAGAACAGCAGCGAAACTATTCCAGACAGGTGACAGCCGTTGGAGAGCAGATACGAGGCATATGCCAAGAGCAACACCATGCACGACTCTAGCGACGGATACTCAAACAGCTGCGAGTGCTTGAGCATGAGAGTGCAAATCAAAGCCATGATGACGCCTATCATGAGCGATCCAAAAAATAGAGCCGAAAACGACCCAATTCCATAGAAATGCTAGAGAGTGAGAAGGCGGAATCGCTGTTGAAGTTGGAGAGGGTGCTGCGAACGTGGCAAAGGGGAAAAGATACAATCGTAAGGATCCACTCTGGTTGCCTCGACTAGCCCCGATTCGCATTGGCGCCGCCCAGCCGCACGAGCGAAGGCACACGATTTGACATACGTGAAGAGTGCGATGGCAACCGAGTCGTTCAGGAGACTTTCGCCAAAGATGATCGCATAGAGCTGGGGATCGACTCTGCGCTGAT